AGTTATATTGTAATTATTTAGAAAAATATATAGTGTTTACATTATTATGGTCATGTAGATGCTAATCATAACTAATACATGTAGTATATTTTGATTATTTTCCCTCCCCCCTCCCTTGCATAGCTCTTTGCTATTGTATTTATCTTGCTGCTTAGTTTTTTGTGTATTTTTGTTGATTGAATCCCAAACTGTCTTAACATTTATTTGAATCTCTTCAGACGCCTGGAGTTTTCTTAATGCTGTCAACTTTGAATGATTTCCTTCTGTGTCCGGTGTATAGCTGTTATCCTGTGGTTTCCCTCACCATGACCTTATGTATTCTTTTGATCTCTTTCCTGAGATGGACCTCTGCTTTCTAAAATCAGGGTCTGCTTCTTTCACGTTGTACTCCCGTGTTTTGGTGGAGCACATTCTCTACCAGCTTCCTGAGAAAGAATGTAAAGGTAGGGTGAGGTGATATTTGCTTTTTGAGTTCTATTCATTTCTCTTTCTATGAAGAAATACCTTAGGGGCGTCTGGGTGGCTCAGTCGGTTAAGCGTCTGCCTTTGGCTCAGGTCATGATCCCAGGGTGTTGGGATCGAGCCCCGCATTGGGCTCCCTGCTCAGCAGGAGAGTCTGCTTCTTCCTCTCCCTCTGCTCCTCCCCCTCATGCTCCGTCTCTTGCTTTCTCTCCCTCAAATAAATAAATAAAAATCTTTAAAAAAAAGGAAATACTTTATAGAACATTGCTAATACATATTTTTCCTGTATTCTGAGTGTTATCGTACACTCTTGGCCAATAAGAACTAAGACTGCAGACTGTACGACATGCACTCAGCCTTTAAATGTGGCATTGCATTCTGCCATTTATTTTGATTTTTAGCAAACAGTTTCGATCAGGTTGGTAACAAGAGATGTGCAACTAATAATGCTGGACTATGAAAAAATGGAGAAATAATATCATGCTGTACGTTAACAAGCAATTAATTATATTGGTGATTCCCTGTGGCTTCATGTAAAAGTTGAGGAGAGAGAACAAGGATCAGCAGGCTCAGCATTATTAAACGTCTCTTGATATTATGAAGGGTATTATATGTATCACTCTGATTTGTAGCTAACAAAACAAGGTAGGTGTGCCATAATTTCAGGGATTTGAAGAAAATGAAAGATCATTGCCAAAATATGTTGGGAATGCATCTCTATAGGAATTATGCAATATTGATACTGTGTAGCTCTGATTCAATTTTTCTTTTAGAGTATAATTATTTTGCTTCTCCTTTCTTTTTTCTGTTCTCCCCTTCTCTAACCCTAATTGGACATATGTTAGATCTTTTTATCTTACATGATTCTTCTTTCTCATATTTCCAACTCTATAACTCTGTGCTGCATTCTAGGGAGTTTCTTCCCTTTTGCCATCAAGTCATTAATTTTCATTTCCAGTGTTTTCTGTTTTCACTTCATCTATTGTTTCAACTTCAGTGAACATATTTCTCATTTCTGTGATTTCTACTTCGTCCTTTTTAATATCGATCCATGCTTATTTTATAGCTGCCCGCTTGTATTTAATAGTTGTTTTGCTTTATCTATCTGGCACTTTAAAAATTATACCTATTTTGAAGATTGATTTCAGATTGCTTTGTTTTCTCTAATTCAAGTGTGAATCCCCACCTCTTTTTTGTACGTCTATATTATATTCTGTTACAACAGATTCTTTTTATTTTTTTATAGCTTTTTTGTGGCTATGAGCTTATTTTCAAGATTTTATCTTGTAAAGGAATCTAGTTCATGACCTACTTTTTTTTCTTCCTTTTAAATTTCTGGCTGGACTATATGATGTCAAGTTGTTATGTTAGTTGCTTGCTTTTAAAGTGAAGATTTGGATTCCTTACCCACCCTGGTGAAGGCTTTTGGTTTTGATCTTGGGTAGTTAACTTTTTCACCTAATTTGGCAGGTGCCTTGTGTCTGGCTAAGATATTGAGCAGGTGGTTGGAGATTATCTGATTGCTATTTAAGGAAGGGGAAAGTCGGTGTAGTTGAACTTTAACCTTTAAGCCGATTTGGTCTTAACATTTTCATGGACTACTTGGCTTCAAGTCCCACTCTTACTTATGGTTTGATTTTGACATGTGAATGTTTACCTTTCTACCTTTTGAGCTTATCTGTGGTTTAACATTTATTTAAAAATATTTTAGTCATGGGGTGCCTGGGTGGCTCAGTCGGTTAAACATCTGACTCTTGATTTCTGCTCCTGCCATGATCTCAGGGTCATGAGATCAAGCCCCAGGTCTCTCTCTCTCTCTCTGTCCACCCCCCTGCCACTTGCGCTCTCCATCTCTCTAAAAATAAAAATGTTTTAGTGTTTTAAAGTTTGGAATGGTAGAGTCTGTGCACTCCCCTGCCACTTGCGCTCTCCATCTCTCTAAAAATAAAAATAAAATAAAAATGTTTTAGTATTTTAAAGTTTGGAATGGTAGATATCAGGAAGCATTCCAGCAAATGCTTAATTGTTTCAATCAGAATGAATTTGGGTTTGCATTTCCTCAAAATATAGGGTCAAAAAAGAATTAAACTGGGTGTAGGACCTGACCTGTGACTAGCTGTCATTTCACCTTAAAGATTACAGATATATTTATTTCTTTCACTGGTAGAAAGAGTTATTATTTAGTAAAATAGTTTTATTTTAAACATTGTGATGAGGTATAAAATTTACCTAAATTTGTTAGTTCAAGTATAGACTTAACACCTATTAAATGGTGACAAGTGTTGAAATTTTGAGACATGGTGTTATAGTCATTATCAGTATTTCTGCTTATGAATCTTCTGTGTAAGTCATCTTTTTAAAATTATTATGCCTTTACAAAGAAATATGACTGTTCTACACATGGGAGACATCCTAGGAATAGAAATAAATATTTTGTAAAGTAAAATTAGAGACGATTTCAAATTTATATAGTTATGACTCCAGCAAATGATAAACTTGGTTACTTACATTGCAAGTCAGTAAGTAGCAGTAGCTAACTAGGATGTTGCTTCAGGGTACAGATGGCCTGTAAGTAGCTTGATGAGGAAAATGTTTGCTAAAGGTGACAGAGTGTACCTACCCTATTTCCCATATGCGCTAGGTCATTGGAAGCATAAGGTCTTAGCTTCAGGAAGTTGTTAAATTTAAGGTCAGGGAGTAATTCCAAAGCATTTTAATAAATAAAGTACATATCCCTTAGCCGATAATATTTTCTTTTCAGTTCCTGCATGCTAAGATGAAATTTGTAGGCTTTTCTCTAGGCAAAATGCAGTATAGGATCCATGTGGGGTGTGAGTATATATATTTGTGAAAAATGTGCAGTATCTGTTGCATGATATATTATGTGTATATATATCAGGCATGAGATTGATGGGGTTTTGATAACACTTATATAAAATGGAACACTCATTGCTGGTCCTGCAAAAGATTATTTAATGGCTTTTGCTAGCAAGTAAAAAACTGCTGTATATTCTGTTTTATAAAAATTACAATGTGTGTTTTAAACTATTTATTATGGAAAACTAAATGTACAAGAGTAGAGAAACAATAATGAACTCCTATGTACGCACTGTGCAGCTTCAACAATTGTCCTTCATTATTCATGTTAGTAAATCTTGTTTCATCTTATTCTGCCTGCCTTATGAATCCTGCTCACCTTGCCCCCTACTCCCACCCCAGGATGATATATACAAGTTTGTGTTACATACTTCCACTAGGAGGCTTATAATGTTTGATTGCTGTTTTGTAATACTTTGAATATTTATGGCAGTTTTTGGTTTCTCTTCATTTTCTTCTCAGTTTATAAAAGGTTTTCTTACACAATTAGTAGTATAAAATGTCAAATTGTTTATATAGCCATTTTGTAGTAATCAACACATCGTAGAGATGCAATTTTCTTGAAAGAAGTAAAAGTCTTACATCTTTAAGTGAAAAATCTTCAGTGTTTTTTGAAAAATGTCTTTAAAAAATTAAAATCATACCGCTTAATTTATTAAATACTTTAGAACAGTGTACAATTGTATTACAATTAATTTTGTAAGTAATATTTTTAATTCAGTTGATTTGCTATTTAGGAATTTTTTTAAAATGTGTTTTCTAAAACAGATTTTTAGTGAACATGGACTTCTGATTCTAAGAAACTATATAGTACGATGAAGAAAAGAGTGCAATACTTACATATAATTTATAGTGTAAATTATAATTTTAAAAGCAAGAAGAACAAAAGTGTTTCTTGAAGGAAATTGCTACATATAGTTTGGCTTATATTTTTCTTTTCATACTGTATTTTTATTATTTTATTATTAACTATGGAATATCTATTTTAGAACCATATTCTTACTACTTACTTTTCATTAGTGAAAACATTTAGTAAGAATGACTCTTAAGAAATTACATGAGCTTTTGCAGTTCTTCAGATAAAGGAGATTGATAGCTGTGACTTCCTAGAATTTGAAAAAGAAATTAGAGCTGTAAGCCTTATGTTTATTTTACTGTTTAAAGATTTTGTGTAATTGTATTTTGCAGCCTAGAAGTCGTCTTTAACCTCCCAATTTGAAAAAGCAAAATGCATAGTTTGCATGCAGCACTGTCCATTGAGAATGATTAGGTACTCTAACCTTAGTGAATGTTGTAAACATTTATTAATTATACAACATATGAATTGCTTTTAAGTGTTCAAAACACCAAAGTACGACTGTTGTTATTGAAATATGTTGATTTTCATATATGTGCCTGTATTTGTTAATGTCTCTTAGTACGAATTATTAAATAGCTTTTTGATAAAATCTGTTACTAGTCATTATGATGCCTAATGAATTAATTAAGACTTTATGTGGTTATTTTTACTTTATTTTAGAAAGACATTTTCTGATAGCTGTTTTTCATTTGATTTCAAGTGGCTGCTCATACCAGTTGTTATTGTAGATTGATTTAACTTGCTCTTATACTTTTTTACCTTTGATATGCCAAGAACTTCAGTTGGTTGTGTGGAAATACAAGCCTTTGTGTGAAGGAGTAGATAATTGCATCAGAACCTGGCACCCACATGAATCTTACGAAAACAGGCTGTTTGTTCCCTAGAGAAACTATTCTGTAAGCTGACTTTGTTTTTATATTCTGTTCTGTGGTAGATTAAGTGATTTAGTTTAGTTTGGCCTAGGGCAAAACGTTTCAGGATATTTTAGAAAATCCTATATCTGATTAGCTCTCTGAAAATAATACTAGTTTTAAAGTTTTGCTTTTTAAAAATTTATCAGTAGACTATGCAATGCCATTTCTGTTATCAAAGTGTCATTTGTAACTGGCACTGAAAACAGTCGCAGTGTTCCAAGTGGTATATTGTTTTGCCCTCAAAGTTTTAAAAATGTGAGAGTCATTTATTTTAAACCAAATATTTATTTCTTCTTAATTTGACGTCCTTCTATGACCTTCAGTGATGAGGAGTAATTTATCTTTTTTGATAGTAATTTCTTGATTACTAAAGCATATAACACAGGGGAACTATGTGAGACATACAATAGTCATAGAAAAAGTTATTTTCATTATAAACTTTTAAACCTTAAAATCCTGAACACTACTTGTGTAACTCTTAGGAAACTCATTTATTTTAAACTTTTCAAAAAAAAATTCCTACCATATAGTTTAATTTTAACTTTTCACTCTACTTAAGCCAAGCAAGCAAGTAAACAACCATAATAAAGTATAATTATAAAAGATTAATTAGGCAATAATTCAGAGTTTCAAGGGAGTCGTAAAAATTATGTCCTTTATTCATTTTAGGTCTCTCAGGTGTAATAGTTACAAATAGTTTCAACAAAAAATTTCCAGTTCAATTCAAAGGTTATTAATAAATATTAAGTTAAAAATAATACCTGCACGTGTTTAAAAAATCAAATTATACAAATAGATATAAAATGAAATAAAATACTTCCTTCTCTCATTCCTCCATATCCCCACCTTAACTCTTAGGTCCTTTTTTTAGAGTAACCACTGGTAATAATTTCCTGTGTATTTGCTACACCTATTCAAGCATGTATGCATATGTAAGTATAATTTTACATTTCTCTCTATTTTATTGTAGTTATGTTTTGTACCTGCATTGTTTTGGCTAAAGACATATTTTGGGTAGGAAATGTATATGTCTTTATTCATCATTTTATATCTATCTCCTAGAATAATGTCTGACACGTAATATATAAGTGCTTACCAATTGCTTGTTGAAAGAATCTTCCACACATAGTACATGTATGCGTTTATATGGTACAAACTTTATAGATTTGTTTTATGATTATACCACATTTTATATTACCAGTTTTCTGTTGATGAACATTTATGTTAGGTCTGTTTTCTGCTAGTCATTGATCCATCCATCCATCCACCTGTCTGTTCATCAAATATATACTGAGTACTTAACTGTATGCCAAACACCTTCTAAGAAAGCAGATGAAGGAATAAATCTTGGGCTCTGCTTGCATGTAACAGACATATACATAGTTGATTGAGATATATCAAAAATAAATAAAACCTAACCAAATTAGTTTCATGAAGGCAGTAGTGTAGATAATATGAGCGAGGAGTTTCTACTTTAGGAGGATGGCCAGGCAAATGAAATAAAGACAGACAGACTAAATGATGCAAAAAATAGTTGAGAGAGCCAGAGAAGAGAATTCTAGGCAGAGGAACTAGTAAATATAAAAACTCTGAGGCAAGAATAAGCTTGGTAACTTCAAGAAACAGAAAGAAATCCAATATGACTAGAGCATATTTTCTCTTACAAATAAATACGGCTTCAGTGAGTGTCTTTATACATAAAAAATATATTTTACATATTTTTCTAAATACTTTTGTAGTAAAACTGAGAGATTAAATAGTATATGTATTTTACATTATGATAGCTATGGAATGGGACCTCTTTTATCCCTTATCCTTTCTCCTTAAACCTCTTCTAGCTTTCTCTGGCTCTGAAGAACTTGGGTTGTCTAGAGCTTGGTAGGGAATGGGCTGTGACATGAGGCACAGTGAGTGAAAGAAATTCTTTTTGGAAGAGAATGTGCTGGGAACTGTGAATGTTTGAGAGACTTTTGTCTAATAAGATGAGAATCCAGTAGTGGAACATATGCATATATTGTGTATGTTGAGTTATGTGATAAAATATTTGGCTCTCAGAAATACAGTGCTCTCCTTTTGCCTTTTAATGAAATCATTTCAATGCAGAAATTATCTCTACTTTCACAACTAGCAAATAGAAAATTCAGAGTTTTTTAGTTATTACTGGATACGAGGCAGTATTACAAACGAGGCCTAGTTTGACACTATTGGATTCAATTTATAAAAATTTGTGATTATAAAGATGTGTTATGAAAAAAATGCCATTAACCGAAGTCAGTCAAAAATGTTTGCTATAATACGGCTTTTGTGGAAGAAGGCAGGAAGGGCATCTCCTATTTAAAATAAGTTTTTAAAAATCCTGGGTATTGTTACATTGGTGAATCCCATTTTTAAATAAAATGGCTCTCTATCAAAAAGGCATTGTTTTTTTTTTTTTAAGATTTTATTTATTTATTTGACAGAGAGAGACACAGCAAGAGAGGGAACACAAGCAGGGGAAGTGGGAGAGGGAGAGGCAGGCTTTCCGCAGAGCAGGGAGCCTGATGCTGGGCTCGATCCCAGGACCCTGGGATCATGACCTGAGCCAAAGGCAGACACTTAACGACTGAGCCACCCAGGCGCCCCAAAAAGGCATTGCTTTAATTTTAAAGGAGAAATGTCAAAATCACTTAAAATTTTTTAGGCAAATTAGAAATTTTAGACTGGTCAGAGAACACATTTTGTTTCATGAGGTGTTTTACTGCTGAGTAAACAGAGTCAAGTCACATTTGAGATCATAGAGATGTTTGTTTAAATTTTTTCAACCTTCATTTTTTTTGATAGGGTGAAGGTAGGAAATTTTGGCCGATACATTCAGATTCCCATGTACCTAGAGAGAGAAGGGGGTATGAGGTTTCCTTAATTATTATTTATTTTTCCTTTTTTCTATGTAATAAGACCATTTCCTTTGAAAATTAAAAACAGCTTGAAGGAATGAGGTTAGGAATCTGTGATGGAGAAGATCTTAATTTAACAGATGCTGAGGTGGTATGTTCTGTCTATTATATTAAAGATTTATTTTTATCTTTTTTTAACCTAGGTAATTTTTTCCAGCAAAACTTATAAACAACCTTTAGTTGGAAATCGATTTTATTTTGCTATCTGAACCTGGTGTACATTAGTAATGATAAAGCAATTAACGTATATTTTGTCTGTGGTGTAAGTTAGTATTTTGATTAATAGGAGGCTAATTTAACTGGTGTCTACTATAAAATCCTCCAGCTAGTTTTAACATGAATATATAATTTTTAATTAAAACAAGTTCTTGATACCAAATCTTTAAGGTGAGTGTAAGGAAAGGAATTAGTATTTTATTAGTCTTATCTTTTGTCCTAAAATGAATGAGTATAAAATATGTTGCATTTTTACAGAAATCTTCTATTCCTTTTATGACATGTAGATATGTAAGTTGTAATTATTTGAATCATTAGAACATCTAATTTTTGCTTGACAATATGCAAATGTGCCATTAAATCTGTTTTTTAAGATTTTTCCAGTTTAATGTCTGAATCCAAATTCATAAAGAGTTGGAAAAATGAGATGTCTGAGCTATAGGATTCACAGGGATTTCATATGAAGCCTATTTAATCAGGATAACACTGTTATTAATATTCATAATGTCAGCTGGAACACAAATGACAGACTATGGGGCCTAAAAATTTTACTTGGTGAATTTATTAAAAGTAGCTTAAAAAATTAATGGAATTTAACTAAAGTTGGTGAATATGAAAATCTTGTGTTAGCAGAAAAAAAATCTCTATTAGAACTTTCTTTAAGACCATTTTGCATTGATGTCTTTTGACAGATTTCATTGGTACTTAAAGAAGAAAGATGCATGAATGGTCATTTAAGAGGATTTAAACACATTGGCACATTAATTTTTACATGAATAATAAGTACTTTCCAAAAGCAATTAACTTACAGTGTACAAGATATGAATTGAAAAATAAGACTGTGACATCAAGGGCAAAGCAAATGTGCTGTACATTTTAAACTTAGTGGCAGGACTTTTTAATATTTTGGTTTATTTTATTTTTATAGTTTAGATAGGATGTGACTTAGAATATGGTCATTTTAATACATTTGAAAGCATATTAGAAGAGCAATAATGCTTCCTCCCTCCACAAAAATATCGGTAGTATTAAACATTATCCTCTGCAGGTATTGTTTGCATTTATTGGAGAATTAAGCATTTGTTGTGCTGTTGGTAATATCTGAGAATATATTCAGTTTTATAGACAGTCAAAAGGATGATTCTGATTGGATTTCGGTCTTAACATAGATTTGTTGATTATAGCATAACTTAAATGTATAATAAATAAGCTTCTTAAAGTTTAGTGTAAGAAGTTTTGTTAAGGTCCATCGGAGTAGTGTACGACTCAATTTGTTCTGAATTTTAGCCTAAGGAAGTAAAAAGTTGGGAATGGTGTTAAGTAAAACCAGAATGCATTTTATTTTGTATACCACCTGTTACTCTTTATGTTTCCAAATATGCTTATAATGACATTATACCAGTGCTCTATTTTTTATTATTAACGTTCATTAAAAACAATTAATTTTAGACCATTATGTATAATTAGAATAACACAGTATTTTGTTTCATATTTTTCAGAGATTATTTTTCATGAAAATTTTCATAATTATGAACAGCATAGTTGATTTGTTATCTGTAACAGTCCACTTAGGGTTTACTGAAGAGAGTATAGGCATTGGCCTGGCAGTCCAGACGGCTACTAGAAGTTTCACTTGTAGCCTGTCAGTGTTATATGTGAGTGATTTTGTTTCATTAGACACAATAGATATTGCCTGGTATGTTTTGGGACTCATATTCAGAGTTTGATTAGAAAAAGCATTAATAACCAGGTGTGTAGAAATGATCACAGTATAAGCTATATGTTAATTTTTCTGTATAAGGTATGAAATCAAATTGATATATTGGTTATTATTATATTTTCTAGTAACTTTTTAAAAAGTTAGATTTTGGGGAAGTGGTTTTTGTTTTGTTTTTTGGCTCTGAGATATTCACTTACATGCCCAGGAGAGGGCAGCATTTTACTATATCAGGCTCCTAAAAGAATTAGCCCTGCTTAGACTGTCAATGTTTCTTGTAATTACTCCCAGTATATTTGTTGCTTGCTTATGAATTAACTTGCATTTATGGAACTAAATCATTTCAATCATTTAATTACACCTGAGGAGCTGAACTATAATTGCTTGCTTCCAACTAGGATCTGATATGGCTTGAGCAGTATTAATTTGGTGTTTACTTTTCTGAGTGCTAAAAGCATTAAAATGATTGTGCAATGGGATTACATTTTACTAATTGCTGGCATTCATTAGCTGGGTAAATGATGAGGAAGAGTGACTGTATATTGCAGAGGGATAAAATTATGGTTTTAAATAGTATATTACTAAGCACATTAAGGCCTGTAAGACATGTTTTAAAATACTCCAGAGGTTATTAAAGACTGTATTTTCTACATGTCTTGCTGTATGAATCTCTTATTAAAAGACTGCAATTATTATTAACCTTTTTGGGCAATATGTAGGGAAATGGCTTCATTGACTGGGACATATTTCTTTGATATTAATAACTTCCTATATTTTCAGCTAATCCAAAAGTAAATGAGGAACTTAGAAAAAGATTGCCAACTCCAGATCAACATATTTAGAGAAAATTGGAAAAGGAGAAGCTTACTACAGCTTTATTTGAGGACTTTTTAAAAGAACACAGAGTTCTAGCTGTGAGGTAAATCAAATTTTATTCTCCTTAAAAAGCATACCAAGAAAAAAAAAAAAACCATTGCATAGGTTTTGTCGTGTTTATTATGAAAACAAATGGAAGACAAATATCAATAATTCCATAAGTTAGTAATAGTCATTATGTTTTTTAAAAAATTTGCATAGTATTTTTAAATTATTTTTACAAGTATAAAATGTTTTATATAAAAATATACATTGTAAATTCAAATCAATAAATTTGAAATTTTTGGTATTAAGTTTATGACATAGAATATAAATTTTATTTTTCTTAAATTGTTGGAGTTAGAAAAAACTTAAGTTGAATAAAATAAATAGTTCTCTAACCTAAGGAGCAAGAATGTCTAGAAGTTCAACCTGAACTGTATTTACTAAAATGTAAGTGTGAAAGAATCTTTCTCTGAGTAAAAAGATTTAATTTCACCTGTTGAAATATACAGTTAATAGTCCCATTATAAATGTTTTAGAAAACCATTTATCCTGTAAATTCTCTGTTAAACAAAGGTAAGGTTTAGGTGTGTTCTGATATATTGTTTTAAGTTTATTTATCTAGAGTTGGCTTTATTTTAGCTTCAAATCTTGGAGCAAAAACCAGAGACATTGCCAGAACAAACAAGAACAGAAGTACAAATGGAGGACTGGTCAAAAGGTAAGGACTTTCAAGGTATTAATACCAAACCCCAGGTGTTGTGCTAGTTCAAGGCACTGAATGAAGTGTGTTTGTTCTAACCAATATATTAGATGGAGGCAGACAAGCGCGCACACACACACATACAAAGAAGGAGGCACACACAAAGAGACACAAAGAAAGACACACAGAGAAAGAGAAACACACAGAGGAAGAGATACTGAGAGAGAAGGGGAGACAGAGATGCAGGATGAGAAAGACACACACACACACACACACACACACACACACACACACACAGTGATCGAGAGAGGAGATTGAGAGAATTACTGGGAGAGAGATGCATACAGAGGGCCACACTCAGAGAAAGAAACACAAACAAAGAGAGACGCGGACACGGAGGGAGAAACGAAAGTCATAGAGGGAGGCACAGACACACATGTGGATACACACACACACTGGAGATGCACAGAGGAAGATAGCAGAGTATAAGAACAGTAGAAAGAGACAGAGAGAGACATACGGTGAGAGAGACAGGGAAAAACATACATACACACACACAGGAAAAAAGACACACAGTAAAAAAAGATAAATGTATACAGAGAGAGACACACATACGTGGAGAGAGACAGATGCACTCGGAGAAACAGACCAAGACACATTCGGATACAGAGACATATGTGGAGACAGGTGCACACCAAAAGATGCACTCAGAGACACCCACAGAGAGATGGAGTCAGAGGGGGCCAGAGGTAGAGCGACAGAGACATACAGAGATGTACAGGAGACAGAGAAAGACACTCCCAGATAGAGACAGAGAGAGACATGAAGACAGAATCCCAGACAAGGAGAGAGAGAAAAAAGATGCACGGGCAAAGGGAGAGAACAGCCAGAGATGGAAACACAGTTGAAAAGACACAGACTGAGAGATGGCCTGAAAAGCAGAGGGAGGCAATGGACAGATAGATAGACAGACAGACACATGTAGGTGGGCAGGCAGGTAGGGCACTTCTATCTCCCTACAGAGCAAGATACAGAGAGCCATAAAGAGAGAGTTTTAAAAAATGTTAGGTTGTTTTAATTGAGGTCTCTTGTAGTAAAATGTTGCAAATTTGGAATCCCTAGGAAGCTAATCATCCTGAATATAGTGTTGCATATAATTGAAGGCCTAAATCTCTATGTACATTGTTTTTATTTCCTCTAAATTTTATATTTAAAAATTAGATTATTACCGAAATATTGCACACATCTCTCCCTTTTTTGATTTCCCCCTCCCCCAACAGGGTTCTTCTTCCACCATGTATCAACCACATGGTTACCTTTCTCATAAGGTTAAAGGCCATTTTGGGGTACTATTCTATCATCATTTTATTAAATAAGTTAATAGTTACAGATTCTTTTGAATTATAGGAAGATGCTCTGCTTTCTGAGTATACTTTTTTTCCGATTTCTGCATTTGTTTTTGATTTCCATACTGTTAGAAATTTTTTTTTGCAGTTTCTGCCTACCATTAGCAAGCTTTCTCTTCTAATTTGTGATTCTAGGCTGCTTGTTATGAGTTTAGAATACAGGTAACTGATTGAATTACGTACAAAGTAATAGCAAGTAATATCTGAGTAAGGTAGTTTATAGGTATTTAATTCAAAGTTTATGGTTTTAGTGAATGGGCTTTATGACACTTAATTTCCGTCTCCTTTCTTTATATTCAAGTTTGTACTGGTGTGAAGCTGGGAACTAATTTTTTGTAGCTGTTTTTATTCATTTATGCAAATAAACAACATTCTTCTTTTCAAGGGTTCAAAGCAGTTTTACTTAATTTATGTACAATAATAAGAAAAGAGGAAGTAAATAATGATGCCCCTGTTATTTATGTTCCCTATTCAGAGGTCACATTGCTATGGAAGTCATGTTGTTCAAATTATAGACAAAAGGATCTCTACGGAACCAAAGGAATTATTTTTAATATATCTAAAGCTACAGGCTGTGGAGGAAATACTTCTCATAAGTATAGAATGACCAGGAAAGAAGTTAAGGAAGGGAGCTGCTGAAGCTCTAGGACACTTACAGAAAGGAAGGTTTTAGGGCTAAAGACATAGAGGCATAAATAGTTTGCAGAAGGCACAGACTACAATAGACGTGACTGAAACATCATTAAGAAAATTTGCATTTTTACAGACTTTTTTTGTTTTACATCAGAAATAGGAGTAAGATATTCCTTTATATAAAGGGCCTGTTAATGAAACACTGAGAAATAAAATTAAAGAGGTAAATGTATCTTTTGAGTTTTGTTATATAATTGATATGTTTAAAATCTCACATGGTCATTGCCTTGACATCAAGGTTTGCAGGATTTATCTTAAAACACGAATTGCTTCAAAGGTCTGTCTTAAACTAATATTCATAGTCTGCTTGGAAAATTAGTTATTTTAATTAATATTATTTTACTTACTTTTTTTAAAGAAATGGAGCTAACTAAAAACTTGTATTATACCAGACAGGCCTTTGTGTCACCTTACACATTTTATTATAAGGAGTGCTAAAGTGGCTCTTCTTTTCCTAGCTTTATTGTAGAAACATTGCTGAAATATTTGAAGTCCGAGTTGATGAGGTATATAATGTGAACAGATAAAACCATTTACTTTTTTTTTTTTTGTCATTATTGGCAGTTTAGAAAATGTAAAGCTGTGATTGGTAGGTAGGACGGGTGAGGGCATCTACAAAACGTGGCCAGGTTCCTTGAAGAGTTGTTTTTACTCTAAGTGGAGGACATTTCAAGTTGTTGGAAGCAATATGTGAGTGAATCAACATGTGTTGCCAAGTGAGCATTGGTAACATCTTCTGGTTTCTTAAGAAGTAAATGATGTTTTTTACCCTTTTGTGAAAACTTTGTCAGGGTTTTTCTTGTTTCTGCCTTTTCAGAAAAAAGAAATGAAATGTTATAATCAAAGGATGTATGTAAAGTTAGCCCCCCAGAGTGAGTTGTTATGTGATTGGTTGTTGAGCCCTTCTAAGCATTTACTTATTTATTTACTTAACTGTGTAAGAAAAAAGGCATGAGGATCATAAGTCTCTCTAATTTTTTGGAATAGTATGATAATTTCTGGATATCTCTTATTAAATTTTGGTGATTTTTATTAAACTAGCAGACACATGGTTTAGTTATTTATTTATAGTGCACAACAGTCCACTGAAAATACCTTACATATTTATAAACAAACATGTCTGCCACAAGTATACATATCTACGATAATATGGGGAAAAATGACGTCCGGATGCCATTTAAATTTAGAATATGGTGAAACTTATTTAAATTTAGAACCTTTAGGGGTCAGTGTTCCCTAAGAAAGGTTAAAAAAGGTTACTGTGCCTACCCAAATTAAATATTAAATCTACTGTATTTTAAATATTTCTTACCAAATGAAGGCAGGAAATGGTAAAAATCATATAGCTTGAAGAAGCTTCAGACAAAAACCTTTGAATTTTGTGAGTGATTATGATATATGATTTTTAGGTTTACTATTTTAGGGAATTGTATTTAATATGTAGTTTTAACATAGTTATTTTTACTTATATATATTATCTCAATTTAGATATGAATCATGTGTTTTTAAACTATTTTCTTTTAAGCTTACAAAGCAAACATGATTCTAAATCTGTACTCATTTAAAACTTGAAATGAAAAACCGCTGCTAGAAGTGCCTCGAGTCCTTTCATATTGTAGTTTACTGGAGGCTAGCAAATATTTTAAAAATCTTAACTTATTGAATTTAAGTAAAAAACAACTGTCTTCTTTACTTTAGAATTAGACTAACAATTATCTTTTATCACCATGATTCTGATTGTTTTTCTACTAAGCAAAATAAATAACTAAAACCCAGCAAAAGGTAACTTGTCAGCGATTTGTTAGTTTCTTATTGAGTCAGAATACTGTTTATTTTTGCTTGGCATTTGGAACCTCTGTGCCACCATCAGCCTCTTTTATTATTGGTTCATCTATCTTTCTGTCTTTTCACAAAGTATGTATTCTTTTTACCTTTTGTCCATCTGTTATTCTGTAATTGATTATATCTAAAACTATTGCATGGTTTGCAAGCATTTTATAAGGGGAGACATCTTTAGAAATGCTATAGAAAAACATCTACCATGCTTTTAAATGTCTGATCATTGTGACTAAAATATGAGTGTAGAATCTCATGTCATTTTCAAAAACTTTCTTTTTAAAGCAGAGAAGAAGGAAATGAATGGTGAGTTGCACAGAATGGCCATCCATTTCTACCAGCAAGATAGCTGGTAGAAAAAAAGAGATTCCTAGGCATTATGATTAGACCCTGCTTGAAATTCAGCATTTTGAAATCTAGATAATTAATCATTCCCTGCTAAATTACAGGATTTGAATTATATTTAATAATTGGCTTTCTATTAAGTAATGATATATTTTCCTTAAAAAGTATTGCAATATGTTTTTGTTTCATAGCAGAAGGTGAATTTTAGTGGAGAACCAGTGCGTTTAATAATTTCAATACAATGTTAAAGTAGAAAGAACACAGGTTTTGGAGCTAGATAGACCTGTGTTTCGGGTTTTTAATCTTCCACTTACTACCTACCTGGCCTTGGGCACAAATTTCATAATTTTAAGCCTGAGTTGTCTTATGTATGGACTAGGGAGATAATTCCTTTAGGACTGTTTTGGAGATTAGGGATTGTGTATGAAAAGCCCACTATAACACCTGGAAAAGGAGATGAGTTTATATAATCTGTATTTCATGTACCAGAATAATTCTTCTCACTAGTGTGGTGGTGATAATGGTTTTTTACAGATGTTTTTTAAAAAAAAAAGAGGAAAGAAAAGATTGTTAACATATTTTACAGGACCTAAATAAATGGTAGTGATGGTTGTCATTTCTTTCTACCCAGCTGTGAAAGGTAGGTCTATAAAAGAGTTTCAAAACTATTAAGAAACAGAAACAACAGTATTTGAAATGGTTATTATTAGTTTTATAAAAATATTCTTTTCAAATACA